GAACAAGGAACAATGGATGGAAACTGGTCAAGAGGGATTCAACCTGGAAATAAGGAGAAATTTTCTGACAGTGAGAACAATCAACCAATGGAACAGAAGTTGCCTTCAGAAGTTGTGAGAGCTTCATCACTGGAGGCTTTCAAGAAGACATTAGTCTGCCATCTGTCAAAAATGGTGTAGGGCCAGTCTTGGGATTCAATTTTTTAAACTATCAGTTCTGTGAGCATGGCTTGGTGGGCGGGGCAGGGGAAGGATCCTGCAAAATCCCCATTCCCTCCCCACCCTACTAACCTGCTTCCCACTCCATTCTCCTGTGCAGAGCAACAAAAGAAGACCCAGTGATTGGCTGGGAGGCAGCATAGATTAACCATCAGTTGGGACTCGGAGGCTGGGAGGCAGTGAATAAATCAGGGGCGGAGCCAGTCAGAGGTGGCATTTGCCAGTTCTCCGAACTATTCAAAATTTCTGCTACAGGTTCACCAGAACCGGTCCGAACCAACTGAATACCACCTCTGTGTAGGGCCCTTATTTTACTCTTCACATCTATTTATATTAAAGTTTCATTCTTCATTCTTTCATTGTTCATTGTTTTAATGTACAGTTCCAATACCAATCACAACATCACTTAAATATATAGGGTAAATCTATTTATATTGTTCCATTCATCCAATCCATATAATTCTGCTATTAATGCATATGCTTACATTAAAATATATTATTTCATTTATCTAATCACTCATTTGATTTTTATCATTTCACTGCTAATCCTTATATTTTTAGACATGTTTAATAATACCATCATTCAATCTCTAATTTCCCAATTAATGCTTAGTTCTTATTCATAATTCCCATATTTCACTCTTCATATCTATTTGTATTGAAATATCATCCTAGTGTCCATCACAATTCATACAAAATAATTATCCAGTCTACATAACTGGGAGGTCCCTTCCAACTCTGTTAATCTGTAAATCATGAATAACAAGTATTTTCATTGCAAGTTGAAAAAATGAGCTCACACAAAACATTTTTTTCTAAATAAATGCTTCTTTCATTTAAAATCATGTACAGCCTTTCACACAGTGTACAAACCATTATTGTAATGTTAAACAGAATATGTCACAGCCATAGAAAACATTGGTTGCTTGTTACCATTAGTTCCTGAAATTATTGCTCTAATCTATATGTAAGAAAATGCAAGAAAGACAGTGTGTTTCTGGAAGATCTTTTTAAAAAATTCTTTTGCAAAAACCTTGTTAACAGTGTGCTTGCATACTTGAAAAACATGTAGAAAGTTAGCAGCCACCCATCTCCAAGAAAAATGAAATATTTTAGGAAATATTAAAAAGGCAGAATATTATATTTTCCCTAAGACATAAATTCAGAGCCTCAGCTCCCTGCCCCCACCCCAGCAGATATTTTGGTGCTAACCTATCTACAAGACAAAAGACCTTCCCCATCAGTACATAATAGGATTAGCCCTCTACCCATCTCACCCCATGGCTCCTGGGAAGATTGCATCAACCAGCAAGGTTCAACCAAGGCTAAGATTCAAGACAGCCTGCAAAGTTACCCCTGCATAGTCCCCTGTATTCAATCAGAATACATGCCTTTTCCACAGGAACAGGAAGTTCAAATTCAAAGCCCAACAAAGGGTATAAATCTCTCTCTCTCCCTCTCTCTCCCCCGCCTCTCCCGATGCTCTTTTGCCCANATTCCATATTTTCTTTTCTATTCCATTCCATGTTTTATTTTCTATTCCATTCCATTCCATATTTTCTATTCTATCCCATTCCATTATATTCTACTCTATTATATTCCATTCCATGTTTTCTGTTCTGTTCCGTTCCGGTCCATTCCATATTTTCTTTTCTATTCTACATGAATTCCTTCCCAACCACCCATAGATGCCAATTATCCCCCCCCCCTCCCTCTGGTCCCTGTGGCGTGGCTGCAGGTGAAAGTGTTGTATCCGCCTCGTATCGTTTTCAAAGGCTGGAGAAGAGGCACGCCTCCTTTAGCTGACGTCACTTTGCAACCACTGGAGGCGTGGCTCCGATCTGAGCGCCGCTCTTGACTCGGAGGCGGGGAGATGGGTAGCCTCATTTGCATCGGCTTCAACCGTGATGCTTTGCGAAGAGGAAAGACCCGCGACTCTCCCGTGACGGGTGCACCGTTTCGCTTCGTGCGGAAGTCCCGATTCTAGAACCGGCGGAAATGTTCGAAAAAGCCTTTCGGTTCATCCCCGAATACATGGTTGGCCGCAGTCGCCCTAATCTCAGTGTCCATCTCCGCCGTAGGGCCCGGTGTCGGTGGCCGGAGTAAGGTATACTCTGGTTTCTCTTCAGATCGTATAAATCTTTCGCCTTTTACTAAAGATTTCCGTGGAGAGGAACATTTATGAGTTTCCGTTAATTTTTTGAGGCCCCGCTTCGGTGGGGCTACTTCTCGCCTGGTTCTAAAAATAGATCAAAGGGTTATGAATGGGTTGTTAACTCTCGCTTTCTACGTGGTCGTGTGGCAGGGACGGCGTTTCTGCGCCTGCGTGCCACTCGTTCATTTGCATTACGGAATAGAGACACTGGAACGGAAGACGATAGAAAATGCAGAATAGAATAGAAAATATGTAGTAGTAAACACAATAGAAAAATATGGAATGGAATAGAACAGGGAATAGAAAAAGGAAATAGAATTAGAATAGGAAATAAAATATGGAATGGAATAGAACGGAATAAAAGGGAATAGAATGAAAATAAAATGTAGAATAGAATAGAAAATATGGAGTAGTAAATACAGAATAGAAAAAAGGAATCGAATACAGTAGAAAATATGGAATAGAATAGAACGGAATAGAAAAAGGAAATAGAATTAGAATAGGAAAGAAAATATGGAATGGAAAATATGGAATGGAATAGAACAGGGAATAGAAAAAGGAAATAGAATTAGAATAGGAAAGAAAATATGGAATGGAAAAGGATATATGGAATGGAATAGAACAGGGAATAGAAAAAGGAAATAGAATTAGAATAGGAAAGAAAATATGGAATGGAATAGGATATATGGAATGGAATAGAACAGGGAATAGAAAAAGGAAATAGAATTAGAAAAGAAAATACGGAATGGAATGGAAAATATGGAATGGAATGGAATGGAATAGAACGGAATAAAAGGGAATAGAATGAAAATAAAATGTAGAATAGAATAGAATAGAAAATATGGAGTAGTAAATACAGAATAGAAAAAAGGAATTGAATACAGTAGAAAATATGGAATAGAATAGAACTGGGAATAGAAAAAGGAAATAGAATTAGAATAGGAAAGAAAATACGGAATGGAATAGAAAATATGGAAT